CTTAGGTTGCCTACCCCTGATCTAGGGTATAAATATTAGTCCCACAACTAGCCCCCTTGTGTGCCCAGAAAGATTCTTCCATTCCCTGTGTCTTCCTCAGACACTGTCTGAAACACATCCCACTTCCATGGTCTCCTCTACAGGAGAGGTATATGTCATCCCTCTCTATATCCCTAAAACCTCACTATCTACTTTCCATACCTCTATTTCAATTAATTCTGAATGGTGTGTCTGTCTGATTTAATATTGTGTGTTTGGTTGTACACTTGCATATTCATAAATAAAAATCCTTGTTATTCCCCCCCCCCCAGTCTGCTTAACTATTTTTGATAACATCGCTTTGCATGTGTATGGTTTTGAATTATTTTAAAGTATTTTAACTGGTCTTAATTTGCCCTCTTTTAATCTGCCTTGTTTTAACTTCTTTTATTTGTTTAATCTGTTTTTAGCCTTTTAAAATATCTTTTGTTTCTAATGATTACATTGTTTTAAACTGATAGTGTTGTTTTATTGCATGCAAACCTGAGATCTATGGATAGAGGTTGTGATGCAAATACTTTAATAATAGATATATGATAAATAAGGACTGATGTGGTTTCTTCACTTGCAGTGGGGAACTCCTCCCAATGAGAAGTGCTCCTTCTCAGAGTGTAAAACTTTGGGCCATTGCAGATCAGCCCAAAGGGCTGGCCGGAGGGTAGAGTTGGGCGGGGCAGCCACACGCGGGCCACATCAACCCCACCCTCATGCTGTCCTGACACTGTGCACCATACACATGCTGTGCAGCGTCAGAATGCCCTTCTGGTGCAATGTGCAGACATGCTGTGCCAAAAGGGGGCAGAAGAGCTGTGGTGCCAGCTGTCAGGGTGGCCTTTTGCCACTCCTAAAAGGAGTGGCATTTTGTTCCTCTTTTAGGAGTGGCAAAAGGGAGGATTGGGGTGGCGGCGTGAGGTTGCTATGGCCCTGATCTGCCGCTCCCTGGGGCAGGTCCATGCTGCTCCCAACAGGCTGTCTGCATCGACCCTTCCTTCATGAAGACAGCACAATCTATCCCATGCCCTGAAATCAGACTAATGTCTATTACAGACTCAGGGCCTATACAGACTGCCAGAAATAATCCATTTTGAGACCACTTTAATTGTCCTGGCTCAGTGCTAGGGAATCATGGGAACTGTAGTTTTTACTGAGACATTGAGCCTTCTCTGTCAGAGAGCTCCTGTGCCACAATAAACTACAGTTGCCATGATTCCCTAGCACTGAGCCAGGGCAGTTAAAGTGGTCTACATTCAGTCTACTTAATTAATCTAACCCTGCTTTGTACCTGGTACAATTCTTTTCTTAAAATCAGGGTTACATTTTTAAATGTGTATCTCTTCAGGTGTTCTGGCTGATAACAGTGAAATTGCTGAGATTCACTATAATTTGAGTTAACTTTCATTCATTCATTCATTTAAATATTTCCCTCCCTCCCTCTATTGTGAAATTAAAAAACATACAATTTTGTGACATACAATTAAAAAAATATAAGCATTTTTTAAAAATAATCCAGATTAAAAAAATAAAATAGTTTATGTAAGAGAAAAAAATACTAAACTTATCATCACATTAAAACAGCAGAAATTGTTTAAAAAGTTAAAATAATGTACAATTAGAGAAAGAGAAAGAGAGATTAGACCCCAAAGCATTTATCAAAAAGCTATGTTTTATCTTGGCTCCTAAAAGGAACCTGTATTGGTGCCAGCTGGATTTCCAAGGAAAAGGCATTGCACCGGCACAAAGAAGACCGAACACTGTTTTATGGATGACAAAATGGCCACAACTTTATTCATCTGTACAGGGTCTGAAACAATAACTTTACATCCAAAATTCTTCACTTGATTATAATTTCCTTATTGACACATGTATATGTGCACATGCCATAACACCTGATGCAATCTTAATCTTAATCAAGTCAAGCCATCAGGGATAAGTCACGCCTCCCACAAGCATATGTAAAGAAGGTTCTCACACAAGTTGCTAAACATATAAACAAATCATCCCCCCCGTCCAAGTTTTGATGTCATCACTAAGATTGATGATGTAATAGAATTTTAAGCTGATGATGTAAACCCTTCATCCCTCTTAACTGACCAAATATTTTAAATTCAGATATCCAATTATCCCTGCCCCACCCAAGCCAAGACAAGGCAATTGCACAATGATTAACTAAAAGACCCTGTTCCAAGTTGTGACAAAATCAGTGATCAAGGAACATACAACCAGCAGTCATGCTTGAATTATTAACAGATAAATGACAATACCAATTATCTCATATTCCAAACCAGAACTGCAGTATCCTCAGGGACGGCGAAAAAGCCAAGTTACAATAACTATGGGAAAATTCCCTCCTGGCCCCCAAAGGCGACCAGCCAAAGCCTGAGGGTGATAAATAACATTCAAAGCCAAGGGTGGGTGGGTTGGGTCTCTTGGCTGCCGAAGCTCAGAATGACTGCCTACACGTGGCAGCGGGGGATTAAATAATCCCCCAAATCCCACCCAAAATCTCATGAGTCTGTCCAGTCTCACAAGATTATGCAGGCTGCTGGGAGATCTCACAAGATCCCTCTGATTGTTTAGGAGGCAAAGGGAGGGTGGGACTCACAGCCCTCCCAACCAATTGTGACATCGGCCTTCTAAAATGGCTGGCAGAACTGTGAGCCCCTCCCAATGCATTGGGGGGAGGGCTTTTATAGGGATTGAAAGTGGTCAGTCCCCACTATGATCTAAATGTTCAGCTCAGAACACTCTCCAAAACTCATAGTAAAATTCAGGGTTCCAAAGCTATTATACAGGGGTTCCCCAGTAATTAAATAGATATGGAAATAAGATATAAGGAGTTTGCTAAGCTCTCAAATAAGCATTTTTTATAAACTTTATTGAATAAAACAACCACAAATAACTACTAACAGTATATCATATACAACATCATATACATACATAAGACAAACCACAATAACACACTAGACATATCTCTATCTACATAAATGACATACACATACATACACTTCACAACTAACAATACAATACATTATACTACTACAATAACAAATTACCTTACAATACGAACACTACAAATAATATACAAAACTTCCTGGAGAATGAGACTAGTCCTAGAATATTCCTTTCAGTACCCTTTTCATTATGAAAACCTGAAGCTAAACTTCCTATTGGAATTAACCTCATTCTCACATTTAAATCAATAAGTATTTTTAAAGAGAGAGAGAGAGAGGAGTGTGTGTGAGAGAGAAATCAGGGGAAATGGTTGATCTTGAGCAAAACTAGAATCAATATTTTGGCAATGCCAATATTGGGACCAATCAAAGTATCACAAAATTATATAAGTTGTCAATTTCTCCAGATTCTTCATGCAAGCATGGACCCTGTCACTGGCACTTTGGCAAGTGTTTGTGAAATGCAGATGTATGCTTGAATATGCGGATGAGTAGAAAATCACATCACATATTCTCACCAGTTTTCTGGGGTTAAAGATTGCCAATCAGTTCTGTAAATTTAGTTTGCTGAGCTCCTTCTCTACCCACAATCCATACTCTGAAAGTTGACTCTACCCTGTACATCATGTAATAGTGATTAAACTATATTCTGACCTCAAGGATCATCAATTTATACTGCCTATTTACAAGCACTATTTAATAGCAGATTTAGAGAATCTGTCCATACCATGTCTTCCCTTAATAAAAGATCATACCAAGTGCTATCAGGTATGCT